AATTTGGTTTCCATTTTGCAAACAGACAAATGACATCTCTCTCTCAAAAAGCACAAAGATGTTCTGCGACCCAGGGGAAAGATGTTTCTCAAGCCTTCTACATCCATTCACTGGAAAAAATGTTCCACCTCCTACTCATAAAAAGATGAGCATTTAGAGATTTAGTTTAGAACTGTAATACTTAAGAAATATGGGTGTATATGTAGAAAAACTATGCGCAAAATTTCATTGATATTTTCTTTACTAATTAGCACATTAAAATTCTTCACTCTTTAAATAGACATAAACACAAGCAACATTTAGGTCTTGAGTGAATCTTGACTGAATTATTCCAGTTATTAACTGATCTAAGAAAATGCACACTAAACAGAATTTACAACAGTTGCCATTTCTGTTAAAAGAGGAATTTTTCTTAAGTTTCAATTATACCTGAAGACACCGGATAACTTACTTGTCTATTTCCAAAAGAATTCCATAAAACCAGAAGATTTCAAAACCAGAGGAGTTTTAAAGCAGGAATCAAAATGTAGGTACTGAGATTTATGAAAATTTCTTGGTTGGTGTCACAGTAATTACAGAGGGAAAGCTCAGCCAGACTGCCTGGACAGATGTGACCAAGACACCCAGGCTATGATGCCAGTGACAAATGGTTAACTGATAAGAAGAAATGGAGGGGGCGACAGACTGAAGAACAGGTCAATATCATGCTGTCATGAAGCCATTTGAGAAACGTAATTAATCTATTACTCACCTGGCATCATCATTCATTGTACAGTGGTCAATAGGTGCCATGAAGCTCACCAGCTTGCTATGGACATGATACCTGAATAGTGCAGGAAATAAGCAGGCAGCACATTAGTAACTACTAATGAAAAGGAAATGTTGCTGCTTGAATAGAAACACACCAGCCCCTGAAATGCAAAGCACTTGCTTTCCTGGTGGCTGCTATCTAATGAGTCACTAGTTGTAGCTGGCAATTCCCCCTCCCTTCCCTCCTCCTCCTTTCTTATAACACGGACAGAAGAATAATCAGATGATACAATGAACTGAATAGCAAGCAAATCCTTTTTTATCACCGCTAGAAAGACGACATACAGCATCCATTAATTGTGTGTGAGCACCTAATCAGACTCCCAGACAGACAACCCTGAAAAGTCAGACAGAGAAACAAGAACTCGTTTGCAGCCTCCCGTTCAGCTGGCATCTTAATCACCTTCTGGAAATTGTGCCCAAAGAGCCCACTGCAGGCAGCAGAAGCATCAGAGCATCAGACCTTCTCAAGCATCCATCTGCTACCACTCTTTCTCTGCTCGGTGGTATCTAAGGCCCTAAAGGATACAAAATCCCACTCCTCTAGCCATACCCAAAGTTGGAAAGTCTTATTCTGAATAGCTTACCAATGGAGCATGTGAAAATAAGCAAAGAAAGAGACAGGAAAGAGATCTGCACAAAGAAGAGATGGGGCATGGCCAAGATGATACAGTGCTGCATCTGTCTCAGCTTCTGATCCACCAAAATATTTCTGCAAGCTGTAGTGCACCTCCAGATGCAGGATCTGCGTTCCACACTGGGCTAGGAACTTGCAGTAGCTTTTTATGACTTATATTCAAGGACCTGGCATACAAAATTTAACAATACTGAAAAACTCTGACTGAAAAGGTGGCTTTAAACCCTAGTGTCTAAGGGCAGGGGATTCCAAACCAATGGCTTTTGGTGTACACGACCATGCTGCCTACCCAAGTCTGAAATGCTTTATCCAAGCTGCTGCTATTTTTAGAGCTTGACAAATAGCAGGCAAAAGGATTCACAAGCATTTGCCCAGAATCACCTTTCCACTCTGTCACCTCTGCACTCCCTTTTGTTTGCTTATGCAGGAACATTCCCTTGAGGGGATTTTTAGCTCACAAGACTATTTCAGAATGGCTCTTCAGGCACAGCACACGCTCACCCTTACACAAGGGCTTCTCTGCACAATCAAGTCTTTGTCACTCATAAATGGAAGCAAGTGCCCTGGTCTAAGGCTGTAATGATGGAGTCAGGGAACAGACACAGTGCAGGGCTAGTACTGCAAGAAACAACAGGTCAGTGGGCTGGACTATGAAACAGTTTGCTTATGAGACATGAACAACTGAAAGATTCATACAGGTCCAAGCTTATACAGGGATAGCCTGCATAGCAGCAAGGGGACTTAGTAATTCAGATAAATTATCTGACACAAGTTGTTTGTCCAGAACTAATTACTGTCACATTTTTAAAATCAGGACTTTAAAAATCCCATTTTAGCAGATATGAAATATTTAATTTCATTCACAGAAAGACATCCCATGTTGCAGCAGCACAGGATCAGAAATCACTGACAAGAAAAACAGAGGTGTGCACACATCACCCCTCCGTATCTACCTCAAGAAAAGGCATGTCCCAGCGAGCGACAGCAAAGTTCTAGGCACCAGGTTTCTTCAGCTTGACTGTGGAGTTTTTGGATGAGCTCACTTCCCCTGTTAGTGCCTCAGTTTCCCTGTCTATGAAGGGGACAAGCCCTTCTGTCAAGCACAAGATCAACGGTTTTCAAACACACTTGAAGATCCTCAGACCCTAGAATAAACTAGCACATTTCACCCAAACATGTTATAATATTGAAGGTTTGTAAAAGACTGCTAAAAAGGAAGAATTATGGAGACAGATGAAACTTAGTATTTGATACTTTCCTTTCCAGGATCTCAAAGGCCTTCAGGAAAACAAATCTAAACACTGCTGCCCTGATTTTAGAGAAAGAAAAAGAACGGGGGGTAAGTGATCTGCTTGGCGTGACACCGAGTCTCTCAGTGGAAGAACCAACTATTTAAAAGGCTCTACTGGACTATTCTGAAAAGATGTTGGAGCTTAACTGCACGTTAATCCTAAACACAGACAATGACACTTTTTTCTTTTATTGATATTTTCCCTGCAGGGTCAGTGCAACTTTTATTTAAAGAAGAAAAAAAAAAAAAAAGGCACCTAAGATCTAAGAGGCAATTGACTTGGCGAGATAGCTGATCTCTCAGGAATGCTGAAGCGCACAGATTGCACACAATGAGAGACTTCCCCATTATTCCTGGAGGTTTACGAGTCTGACTCAGTTGTGTGATGTTGTCAGTAGTTTTGACTGAATCATGAATATATCCAATTATGTGTGATGCTGACAGAAAAGAATATTGATAGTCAATAATTATAGGCTTTTCAGGCCAACAAAGTAGCTCTTCTCTCTTTTAATAAATTATCTTATGACATCTATCTTAAAAATTGCTATGCCAGGCCTGACCCAGACTGACTCCACTGACTTTCTATCAGATGCCATCTAAACTCAGGATTTATAGTTTACTCACAAAAGGATGGTTAATGTTGCGGATTTTTCAGGAAGCGGCGCAGCTTTTCAGCATGCCTCCCTGCCACAAACACCTCCTCCACTACAAATCATGCAGTCATGCTAAACTCAGGGAGACTAATATATCTGCTCTGCAAAGGCAAAAAAAAAACCTCCCTATCCTCTCCAGACTGCTTCCCTTTCCACCCTCCAGCATGAAGATTCTTCCACTGGAAACACAATGGGAGAGATCAACTCAAATTAGTGATCAACCCAATCTAGTGATCCAGGAGTCAGGATGTGAAATGCTTTGAAGTTAAAGAAAGCTGCAATGGGACTTACAGAAACAGATTAGACACCAAATTCCAATTGACAGTCAATGGGAAGTAGACATCTACCTCACTGAGGCATTTCTACACACCTTCTCCTAGAGCTGCTGTCCACATTCAAGTCAGCTAAATATATATTGCACAAGAGGTGTTTATTGGCTTTCACTGAAAATAATGTCCCCAAATTGCTTAGGGGTGTTTGAACATCTCTCTCCAGTGTTTTCTGAGACCAATGAACACTTGCCAAGACTGATCTGGGCAATGCTCACAGGCTGCATCCAACCAAGCCATTATTCTAGGCTCAAAGAACATTAAGATGCCCCAATGGATGTCCCAGAACAAGACATCTTGCCCTAAAAGGCATGAATAAGCCTACCAATGCACCTCAGAGCCAACCCAGCGCAGTCAGACTTTATTTGGCAAAATAAGAACTTCTGTTTGCTTGCAGAAGCTGTCACCCACCGGATTCTCCTTCCTTTACTGGCTTTTCTATCCACTTTCTTCTTTATTTTGCTTCGTAACTTCTGGATGGCCAGCCATTGCCTGGGGAACACAAAACGATGGGTACACCATTTTAGGAATCATTTGGTGAATGAGCATTAGGGGTCTGAGTCCCTTCCCAGCCCTTCTTCCCATTGCATTTACACAAGTGAAAGAGATCAGAACCTCAGGAAAACAAGTACGAAACCTCAAATGCCCTCAAATGCTCCATGAACATGGCATTTGAACAGCAAGTGTTTCTCCTGACTGCAGCCACAACTGGACACTCAGACCAGACCTGCTGATCCCAGTGAGACAATCGCTGTTCAATGAGAACATTCTACCTGCAGGGAAACCCAGGGAGGCCACAAGCTTGGCTCCATTTTTTTATTCTTTCTTGATTACTGATTTTTTTAAAGAATCTTTAGAATTAAAAATAAAACCTTTACAAAATATAAATGCTAAAATTTGTAAAAAAAAAGTCTTTAAAGTTGATGTTTTTTTGTTCAGCCATGATTACTAGAATGACTTCTATTTTGCTTATAGAAAGCTGATAACAGAATAGATGTTCTGCACATCCCAAACTGATTCTTTAAGTGAGGTTATGCTAACTTCAGGAACAGAATTACCATCATGCAGTAGATGCTCTGGATTTATTTCCTCCCTCAGTTTTTCAAAGTTTATTGAAAATTATAAGCAAGTATTATATCTCCCCATCATTTCTGACTTAAATCTGGCAAATCCAGTGAGAAGCCCTATATAATGCTCCAACTATTACTATACAAACTACAGAAGAAAGAAAAGCAATAAACACTTTCAGAAAGTGCTGTCTGATCCCTGGCTGTATTATTTAGAAGGGAGGGCTCAACTCCTCAAACAGAACTTCATCAAGTCACAGAAGTATGCAGCAGGGGAAAAATTCTACTAGTTATAAATATTTTTTTATGAAAATGAGCGTCATCTTACCTGATTTATACAATGAAAACTTGACATCAGGGAAAAAAATCTAGCAAAATCCAATTACTGCAATCTTAATATAATCTTAATTACTGTAATCTATTTTATTGTAAAGTCAGATAAATGTACAATGTAATCACCACTTAAATGTAATTTTGTCTATATCATGTTAAATTATAGTGAATAGCTTTCCATAATACTCCAGACATACACAAAATAAATTTGACACATTGCACTAAAATTTGGGTAGCATTTTACAAGGATAAAAGTTGTTTCACCATCACAAAATTTCCTGATGCATTTTCTCCCCCTTCCCATACAGATGCCCCCATAGCACTTTTTCAGTGGAGAGCCCTACTCCAGCATTTTCAGCCCTTCCTCTGCTTTTACACTGTTCTAAATCATAGCCCATGGCTATTTAAATGTCCACTGTTCATTAAGTGGTATTTGGAAGATTCTTTATATTGTAACAGTAGAATTAAACAGAGAAATAAGAGCTTCCCTGAATGGATTTACATTTTCCTTCTGCATGCAGGAAACATTCCCTGGAATTGTTTTAATTGTACAGTATCTATTCTTACAGCAGGGAGAGAACATACCCAGGAATTGGTTTTACTCATCTCACAACAGGTTTGCTTCTCTAAAACACTGACAAATCAGGGCTAATAATGAGAAAAGGCCAAATTTCAGCAGTGGGCAGTCACTTTGTCTGCTCCCCCTCTCCAGGTCGGTTAAAATACCCCTCTGTGAATTTCCTTTGTGCTGCATGAACCACTGAGAGTTAGAAATATCCGAAGTCTGGAACAAGCCTTTTACAACTGGGAAGTATCTTCAGGGGATGGCAGGAAAACCAGGGCACAGCTCAAAGGCTGGCAGACTCGGAGTCAGCCAGTGAGATCTGTAACTGAGGAGGATGTTAGAGGATGGCTTCCCTGACTAATAATTCACAATTTGTTATGCAATTTCTTACACCCAGATGCTTTTGCCAGAGTCATTCAGAATTTCGCCCTGTACAATGAACTGGACTGGAAGCCCACGAGTAGTTTTGCACTTCTGGGCTGGGATGCTGTGCTGGGGTGAAGCTAGTGATGTTACAGACTTCTTACTTACCTGCCCATTGCTACCTGGTCATTGGGGTCCAACGAAGTGGTTTTGCGTTCTATATATTCTCGAAGGAGCTGGAAGAAAGACAACAATGCCATTTAGAAGCAGAGTAAAGACATGTTAATGCAAACAGGCTCACAGGTTTCTCAGACTTACAAAATCAGCTGCCAAGCTCCCAAGGGAACCTGTATGCCTTATTTCTTGGAACTTCCTAGAAAACCCCAAGCCAAGAACCAAGACATTTCCTCTGCACAGGTTCTCCCAGGGAAGAAGCTGATGGCTCGGAAAAGGTTCAAGGAAGGAAGCAAAGCCTTATGCTAGAAGTTTAAGTAACTTTAGATCATCCCCCTCTTCCAAAAAGGTCCTCATAGAATATGTGACTGGAGCACAACACTGAAGGCCACTACAAAGAGTTTCTGTTTATGATTTCAGATGGATCTAGGAGCAGTATAGTCTTCCCTTCAATGCATCATGGTTTATTTAGGTGACATGTAGCATTATGTCCTTCAATGGAAGAGAATCAGATGGGCCACCCATTTGGCAACTGCTGGTCCCAGGACCCCAGAGCAAGTGTATGATTCATAGAGGGCAAACAGGTTACAAGCTTGTGGGGTTGCGAGCAGCTGAGCCTGACATGAGATGGTTGTTTCTCACCCAGAGGGGCAGAAGGAAGCACTCAGCTTATATTTCAGAGGCCAGTACTGTTCCTTGGGCTTTGGAAGGATAAAAAAGGCCTGAACATTTACAAAATGTTGCGTACACAACTCCTATGGGCAAAAGATGGAACACATGCAGATCTGCAGTAAGACCTCTGCCCCACAGGTCTCACCCCACACTTCAAGTGGGGAAGGCAGGGGGGAACTGAAACACTTCATGAAACAGAAGTCAAGCATCGCTGGACAGTAATGCTCGCTCTGAGGAACAGTACAGCAAAGTAATTTTTATAGCTAGAGAAGGAATGTTCACGCAGGCTTTTCTATTTCTTTTCATGTCCTGAGGGTTGAGTTTTGTCCTTTTTGCTTCCTGCAGCCAAAGAATATTGTGAACAGCCTTTTTGGATACTTGACCAGTGCTATATGTTTATCACCACTCACTGTAAATTGTACGTGCTGTGCCTTGGGTATTAGCCAACATATTACCACAAAGAACAGAAATAAAGCCTCCAAAATTGAGGGGCACAGACTGCTTTCCAGATGTCAACATTTCACTGACCAGTGAAGTTACTGCCTCAGCTCAGAAAGCACCTGAAACAGACCCACCTGGAAACCAGAGTCCAGGCAATCCCACAGAGATGCTAAAGAAAGGATGAAAGATGCTTTTCCTCCACCCTATACTTTTGCTCAAGTAGGAAAGCTCAACTGCAATGGCCAATTGAGGTACAGTAACCACCATGGAAACCAGGGCCTGGGGAGCAGCCGTGGTCCTGGCTATCACCTTCACCTGGCCCACAGCAACATGCAGAGACAAGGCAAGAGGACAAGGAGGAATCTCCACATCCCTCCTGCAGCTGGGGATGTGGAAATACATCATTTCTGAGCGACAGCATTTCTGAGCACAGTTTAGCTCTTGGCCACCACCGTGCTCAGAGCAGCCTGCCCTCAGACAGCTCCCCAGGCACTGACGCTGCCCCACCAGGCAGAGCTGACGCCAAGAGCCGTCCCAGGCTCATGGTTATGTGAGAAACTCACCAACTCCCACAGTTTCGGATCTCAAGTACAACACTGGAGTGAGGCGTGCACCCCACAAAAGAAAAATGCCATAGAAGTAGATGGGTATCATTTTATGACCCTTTTTTATTTTCAAATAAGAGACACTCAAGCAACAGAGATAATATTTATACCTGTCCACATCTTTCCTCTCCTTCAAGACACACAGCATATTACAAAAAAAAAAAAAAAAGAGCGATTAAAGCATAATTAAAAATCTGCCATGACTTTTTCCCTATTTGCTTATTTTTGGAGATTATTACTGCAGCAATTACACTTAAAAATTCCAAGAAGAGAGACCACTGGTTTATTATCACTAGAAAACAGCAAGCTACTTCTCTGCCCTGTTTATCTGATTGATTCCCAACATCTTTCTGGCACACAATCTATCAGTTTATCTCTCCTACTTCATCACAGTCACTTCTGGCAGCTAAATACAAGATCCAAATCCAGTGTTACACAGACATACGACACAGTAAACCTATGTAACACCGCCACTCTGTAAACAGCTGCCCTTAAGGCTAAGCAGAAATGGGATCTTGGTTCCTAGTCAATATTCTGTCAAAAGCAAGGTGGGAGGGAGGGTTTGAACAGCAGCAGAAATGGTGCAGCGAGGTTTTAGTGGTTTCCTCCTGTACTGGCAATAAGGTGTGTTTACTGTCTCCTCTTATCTTGCTCCCTTGGCATGAGATGCAGAAAAAACTGCTGAGCAGTAAGGGCACAGGCTAAGGCACAAGAAGACAGTAAAGCACAGATGTCCTGTGCTCTTACAGAACTAAGCAGCAAGAGGTTTTCAGCAGGACCTGCTCTTCTTGGTGGCCCACCAAATCCACAGACTGGTAGACTATGGAGTGCCACCAAGGTCTTACAAGTATGTAACCACACTGGTTGGAAGGGATGAATTCTGGGGGCAGGTTCCTACTGCTGCACCTGGGGAGCAGGCAGGATCTAGTTGCACAGGATCACTTTGGCAAGGCAGCGTTTCCCGTGACGGCTGTGAAGGACAAGGAGTTGAACTGTGTGCCACTTAGCAGGGTGACAGCAGGGATCCCATTATTTGCTGCGGGGCACAGCCTCTCCTCTGTGTACAGAGGATCCTCTCACCAGAATTAGTGTGGAAAAGCTCCTTGCAGCAGTGGGAGACTCAGCCCTGTGCACGCTCCTCTCCAATGCACTAACTAGGCTACCAGTCCACCAGCCATCAGTTGAGGCAGAGATGGTTTTGTTGACCTTGGGGCTGGCAGTGAAATGTTCTTTCAGTGCAGGATTGGGGACACTGCTGGGGAGAGGAGAGGGAGACAAAGATGAGAGGGAAGTAAAAAAGCAGCAGGGAGAAGAGGGAAATTAGGAAATAGAAATAAAAGCTGCAAAGCATCTTATTACATCTAAATAGTTGTACGTCTTAAAGCTAAAGTTATAAATCATGCTAACAATGGTTACTAAAATAAAAGTGGATGTAGCCAGAGGCTACCACTGAAAAAGTCAGTCTAGACCTGCCTCGCTGCCTTTGGTCTTTAAGGATTTGATTAGTTTTTCCACTTTCTAGTTCAGAGTCTTGCATTCAGCCCATGCTCCAGAGCCAGCTAGGGCTCAGGATACAGAATGAATGATAAATTCATTTACTGAATAAAGCAACACTGTTTTCTCAGCACAAGACTGAAAACACTTCCGAAGCTGTAATATTTCATTAAGCTTGGCTATTCTGGTTAAAATTTATTAGTCAAAACAGAAAACTCTCATCAGACCCCATGTATTCCATTAGGAGTGATATATGGTGTCTCCCAATGTCTAATTATTAACTAGGAAGTGTAAGTAAATCACTATCAGCATTAAGCCCTGATGTGTGAAGACAGAGTTTGAGTTAGGCAATTTCAGCATCAAAAGGCTTTGATTTGAAACATATCCTTTTTTGCTTTCCCTCCTTCACCTCTTCACATCATCCCTGAACTTCAAAAACCTAAGCTCAGCCTCCCACATAAAGGAACACAACTGCCTACCCGCAATGAAGTGCAACCACGTCCAGCAGTCTGCAGCTCCACTACCAACTCCAACTGCCCCTACCAAAAGCTGGAACCAGGAGGATGAACTACATGCAAAGTGGACAACAAGCAATAGGAAGCAGAAGAAAGTTGCTCACATCAGTTTTATTTGTCACTGGAACAAAGCAGTGATGCTTACCACAAGTGCTTCTGCATACAAGTCTTTCTGAACCCAACAAAGCTTTGCTGCGCAAACCAGCCCAACCGGATGCCCTAGTCAAAACCAAGGTCTGCCAGCCACCCAGTAAAGAAAAGCGTGCAGAGGTCATGCCGAGGCCCACAGGCCATGCTCATGGAGAGCTGGTAGCAGATGGGAACTCTCCCTCCTGTGTCCTGAGCAAAATCTGCAACCGCTAACAAAGAGCAAGGCAGTGTTACCACAGAACACGCCCGAAGGCCAGAGTTTCCAAAGCGGGTGGCATCCACCCACCTTTGCTGACACCAAGGCCGTTGTTAAAATTTACACTCAGGTCAATGATGTGTGTTTTCTAAAGAATTCACCTTAAAAGGACTCCCTCTCTGCAGTTAAAGAGATGCATACAAAGTACACTGTACAAAATTAGAGGGATTTAAAAACGCCATCAGGGTGTTGTTCAAGGGTAATAGAGATTCATTTCTCATTTCAGAGGTCAATTTTCATTTTAGAGGTTAGGTCTCATTTTCATGCACTATCTATCAGTGTTTCTAATACTACAGTTGCTGACCTTTTTGATTTGCAGACCCCTAAGAACTTCCAATTGAGACAAAGAGCTAAGTATAGCTGAAATAAGCCTCGTGACAAAAGGCTCACTCTTCTTAGCCCTCACAGACCAACTCAAATTAATACCTGGCAAAAGTTGATCTATATTATACCGCAGGAAAGTCTAGTTTACAAAGGAATATAATCAGAACAAAAGAATCATTTTTTCTCTGATGTTATGAAAATCTTCAGAAAAGCCAGTAAAGGCACAGGTCATTTCTGCTACAGTGCATCAAAGCCACTCACTCTGTCTTGCAAGTGGCACCGCTGCCTTTGAATTCACTGAGTCAGGTACCCGAAGAGGTGAGACCTCAGCCCAGCCCTTGAGCTGGCTGCTGGATGGGGAAGTCACAACAGTCCTATTGGGCTCCCCGTGCCCATAATAACATCAAACAAGGGGCCAAAAATGTTCATTTTAAAACAATTGTGCAGAACAATGGAAAAGCAGAACCTCACACTGCTTCTACCATCTTTTAGTCATTTGCTGGAAGCAATAGAAACAGAAAAAGATTGGACTGTTGATTCTGAAACAAGGAGAAAAATCTGAGAAACCCAGACTTTGGGTTTACCAGCAGCTGCTCACCTTTCCT